CCCTTTGGTGCTGGAAGCAGATCTGACAGAGTTTGACGTCGCCAATTCTCATCTCCCCTCCGAGGTTCTCTACATGCTAAAAAACGTCCGGTGAGGCTCAGGATCCAGTGCTGGGTGGGTCAGGATCCAGCCCAGGGGGGCAGGATCGGGATCCAGGGGTCAGGATCAGGCCCTAGGGGGTCAGGATGAGGTCCCCGGGGTGTCAGGATCCATCCCTAGGGATCTGGATCCATCCTGGAGTGGTCAGGCTCCATCCTGGAGGATCAGGATCCATCCTGGGGGTCAGGATGAGTTCCCAGGGGGATCAGGATCCATCCCCAGGAGGTGAGGCTCCATCCTGGGGGTCAGGATCAGGCCCTAGGGGGGGTCACGATGAGGTCCCCAGTGGGTCAGAATCCATCCCCAAGGGATCTGGATCCATCCCCAAGGCATCCAGATCCATCCCGGAGGATCAGGATCTATCCTGGGGGTCAGGATCCGGCCCCAGGATCAGGATCCAACCCCAGAAACCCTCGGCCAGAGGAGACTGGACCACCCACCTGAAGGACACTCGTCCCTCTGCATCCCCATCACTGCTGGGATGACACCGGAAGACCAGGGTGGATCCTGGTGGCCTCTGTGTCACCCGTTGTCCTCACCCTTGTCCCCGCAGGGTGCTGGGTCACTTTGAGAAGCCGTTGTTCCTGGAGCTTTGCAAACACATGGTTTTCCAACAATGTCAACAAGGTGATTACGTTTTCCGACCCGGACAACCAGACACCAGCATCTACGTCCTCCAGGATGGCAAGCTGGAGCTGTTCCTCACCGAACCGGTGCGGGGACAGGGACAATGAGGGGGACAGGGACACCTGGGAACGCTGGAGGGGATGGAAGGAGTGAGGAGGGTTTGTGGTTTGCAGGATGGGAAGGAGACGGTGATGAAGGAGGTGTTCCCCGGGGACAGTGTGCACAGTCTGCTCAGCATCCTTGATGTCATCACGGTACCGGTGTTGTCCCCAAGCCCCCCTGTGACTGATTGGGGTTGTCCCCGCCTGATGGTGGATGTCCCCAAACCCTCCCAGGACAGTTGTGGTTGTCCCAAGCCTCTTAAACACGATCATGGTCATCTCCAAACCACCAAAGCTTGATGGTGGCTGTCTCCAAACCTACCTGTGACAGATTAGGGTTGTCCCCAAGACCCTCAAGCCTGGTCTTGGCCATCCCCAAGATCCCTAAATCTGATTGTGGTTGTCCCCAAACCTCTTAAGCTTGATGGTGGCTGTCCCCAAACCCATCCATGTTCAACAATGGCTGTCCCCAAGCTCCCCTGTGACAGATTGGGGTTGTCCCCAAGCTCCCAAAACCTGGTCATGGCCATCCCCAAGACCCTTAAACTTGATAGTGGTTGCCCCCAAACTCCCTTGTGACAGATTGAGGTTGTCCCCAAGACCCCTAAAACTCATCATGGCTACCCCCAGACCCTCTAAGCTGTCCCCAAACCCTTCCATGATGGTGGCTGTCCCCAAACTCTTCTGTGCCCAACAGTGGCTGCCCCCAAGCCCCCCTGTGACAGATAAGGGGTTGTCCCCAAGCCCCTCCAGCCCAACCGTGGCTGTCCCCAAGCCCGACCAGCCAAAAGCCCAGTGCCACCAGCAGGCTTTGCCAGCCCCCAGCTGCCACCATCTCCTATCCATGGCTGGGATGGACCTCCCCATCCCAGCAAGGCCACCACCACCACGGTGTGTCACCTAGGGCCACCAGCGACCATACCGGACAGTGTGTGCCCGAGCGGCAGAGGACTCCACCATCCTGCGGCTGCCGGTTGAAGCCTTCTCTGCCATCTTCGAGAAGTACCCCGAGAGCTTGGTGCGGGTGGTGCAGGTGAGTCTGGGTCATGGGGGGACCACGGGGGTGTCCCCTGAGGTGACGAGGGACCACTGATGGCTTCTTATCCCCACATAGATCATCATGGTTCGTCTGCAACGCGTCACCTTCTTGGCGTTGCACAACTACCTTGGGTTGACCAACGAGCTCTTCAGCCACGTGAGTTCACACCAAAAAAGGGGATCAAGCTGGATCTAGACCCCCTTTCCCCAGCCTCACTGATGTCCCCCCCACCCCAACTTTGCAGGACATGCAACCACTGCGGCTCTTCCCTCAACCTGGCCACACTGCCCGCACCAGCCCTGTCCGCCACAGCAAACGAGGGCCCGGTGGTGCCGATGAGGGCAAGGAACCGCGTAAGAACCGTGATGGGGGTGCTGGGACCTCTCCCTACCATCCTGCTACCACCATGGTGGGGTACTCAGGTGCTGATGCTCAAGGTGGTCACATCTTGCAGCTGATCCGCTGAAAGCTGGAGGCCTGGAGACCACTGTGCCGCCGTTGAGCCGTTGCATCTCCATGCCAGTGGATATCTCCGGTGGGTTGGAGGCTGGAGGAAGGATGGGAGATCCTGGGTCCCACCTACTCACGCATCCCCCTACCCAGTGTCCCCATCTCACACACCAGTGACCCCTCCGGCCCCCTCTGTCATCCATCACAGGCATCCAGAAAGGTCACCGCTCCGACTTTGACATGGCCTATGAGCGCGGCCGCATCTCGGTGTCACTGCAGGAGGACAGCGCTGGCGCCTTGGCTGCCTTCTCCCAGGTAAAGCCAAATCCAGCAACAGCGTCCACCCAAACCCATCCCCAGCGAGGTGGTCACGGACAGGTGCCAGAGCTGTCCCATCTCCTCACAGTCTGTCTCGCATGAGGCCAAGGAGCGCAAATCGGTGACAGTGGAGGAGCAACCATCTGGTGTCTACCACTGCAACTACTGCGAGGACGATTCGGCAACCGGGTATTGTCCCTTCGGGCCCTACCAGGGCCGCCAGACCAGTGCCATCTTCGAGGCTGCCAAGCGGGAGCTGGTCAAGCTCATGAAGGTGGAGGTGAGAGCAGAAACGGTGCCGGCACGAAGGAATTGTGGCTTTGTGGTGGTCCTCTGTGGTGTTTTGGTGGGTTCCCATCATTTTGTTGTGGTTCCTGTGGCTTTGTGGTGGTCCTTGTCATGTTGTGGTGGTTCCCCGTTGCCTCGCGGTGAGTCCTCATGGTCTTGTGGTGGGTTCCCATCACCTCATGGTGGATCCTCATCACTTTGTGTTGGTCCCTGTGTCCTCAAGGTGGTCCCCTGTCTCTGTAGGATGGTCTCCCATCTCCTTCTGGTGATCTCCATCACTTTGTGGTAGTCCCTGTTACCTCAGAGTGGTCCCCCATCACTTTGTGGTGGGTTCCCGTCTCCTTGTGGTGGTCCCTGCGGCCTCCTGGTGGTCCTCTATCTCCTTGTGGTGGTCCCCATCTCCTCAAGATGGTCCCCATCACCTCATGTGTTGCCATTCTTCCGTCTAGGACCCTTCTCTTCTCAACAACCGTGTCTTGCTCCATCATGCCAAAGCCGGAACGGTCATTGCCCGTCAAGGGGACCAGGTGGGTGTGGGTTTTGCGGAGTTGATGTGACATCTTGCTCCCTGCACCCTATATTTCCATGGGGTGCTTCTCTTCCTACTCATGCCTTGTGGGTGGTGGGGGGCAGGAATGATCTCCAGAGACATCTGGAGACATCACCAAAACACCCTGTGAAGAAGACCAGAAGAATCCTCAAATGATGCTGGTGGGATCTATCACACCTGGGGGTCGCAGGTGTCACCCAAACGGTGACCAGGTGCCATTTTGGCAGGACGTGAGCCTCCACTTTGTGCTGTGGGGTTGCCTGCACGTGTACCAGCGGATGATTGACAAGGCAGAGGACGTCTGCCTCTTCTTGACACAGCCCGGTGAGATGGTGGGACAGTTGGCCGTGCTCACTGGTGAGCCTCTCATCTTCACCATCAAGGCCAACCGCGACTGCACCTTCCTCAAGATCTCCAAGTCAGACTTCTACGAGTGAGTCCTGGTGCCAGCGGAGGAGGTTTGGGGCAAAGGATTGACATCAAAGGGGTTTCCTGGGATGGGCGCTATGGTGGCATCTCTTGGGTCCACCACTGTGTCTCCCAACTTCTGTTGATCCATAGGATCATGCGGGAGCAGCCCAGTGTGGTGTTGAGCGTCGCCCACACCGTGGCTGCCCGTATGTCACCCTTCGTGCGCCAGATGGACTTTGCCATCGACTGGATGGCGGTGGAGGCTGGACGGGCGCTCTACAGGTGGGTACCAACAGGTGGGTGCCCACCTTGGTTTGGTGAGGACCAGCTTGATGAGGGGGCTGAGGTCCCCTTGGTGGTGTCCCCCAGGCAGGGTGACAAGTCGGACTGCACCTACATCGTGCTCAATGGGCGCCTCCGCTCCGTCATCCAGAAGGGCAGCGGCAAGAAGGAGCTCATTGGGGAGTACGGCCGTGGAGACCTCATCGGTGTGGTGAGAACCATGTCGAGGTCGGGGGATGGACACCCTGTATGTCTGGCTGATACGTCTGGGCTATGTGTCTTCTTCTCCAGGTGGAAGCTCTCACCCGGCAGCCCCGTGCCACCACGGTCCACGCAGTCCGGGACACAGAGCTGGCCAAGCTGCCTGAGGGCACCTTGAACAACATCAAGCGTAGATACCCCCAGGTACCCCCAGATCTCCGTCCTGGGGCCTGCACCCTCTTCCTGTGGAAGATGTCCCTATGTCCTTCTCAGCTGGTGGCTGTGATGCTCATTAAAACCAGCTTAGATTAAGGAATTAGATGTGATTCGAGTTGTTGGGGGAGAAGGGCTGATGTGTTGAAGGGTTGTCCCTCTCTGAGGTCCCCAAGGATGGGTAGTGGTGGTGGCACCCAAAAAAGACGTGTGGGATGTTAGTGAATCTCTGGCTTGGGAAGCTCTGCCAGGTCTGATGGTCATCCTCATCCTCATCCCTGCAGGTTGTCACCCGCCTCATCCACCTCCTGAGCCGGAAGATCTTGGGAAACCTTCAGCAGCTTCGTGGCCCCTTTGCAAGTAGGTCCCAAAGCAGTTAGGGACAAAGAGGTGTCCTCTCCGGGGCTGGTGGCCATCATCAGAGATGAGTATGGAAGGTGTCCTCCATCCCATCGTGGTGTCCCTCCACTGCCACCGTGTCTCTTGTCCTTACAGGCTCTGGCTTGGGCATGGCCTCCAGCTCGGAACCCACCAACCCCACCAGCAACCTGTCAACGGTGGCGGTGCTGCCGGTGTGCGATGATGTGCCCACAGCTGCCTTCACACTGGAGCTCAAGCACGCGCTCAACGCCATCGGTGAGTGCCAGCGCAGTGATGACCATGGCGTGGAGGTGACCATGGTCCTGTGGCATGCCAGCAACCTGGTGTGGTGATGACCACAGGCATGGTGGTGACCGTGGCATAGAGGTGCCCATGGTTCTGTAGTGTTCTGGGCACCACAGCGTGGTGACCATCACAGCCCCATGGCACGATGGTGACCACAGTCCCACAGTGTGGTAGCAACCATGGCATGATGACAATGGCAAAGCGATGACCGCAGCTGCTTGGCATGGTGGTGACTATTGCCCCATGGCATTGTGGTGACCGTGGCATGGTGGTGAACGTGGCATGTGACCCCAGCCCCGTGGCATGATGGTGACCGTGGCATGGTGGTGACAATGGTGCGGCAATGACCACAGCCCCGTGGCATGATGGTGACAAAGACATGCTGGTGACCACAGCCCCGTGGCATGATGGTGACCACGTCCCTAACTCTCCCAGGTCCCACACTGCTTCTCACCAGTGACATTATCCGTGCTCGTCTTGGCTCTTCGGCATTGGACAGGTAACTCCCGTCGAGAAGAATGTCACCAGTGACCCACCACCGTGTCACTGCCTGACCTCTCCATCTCGGCAGCATCCAGGAGTACCGCCTGTCGGGCTGGCTGGCACAGCAGGAGGACATCCACCGCATCGTCCTCTACCAAACCGATAGTACCTTGACACTGTGGACCGTGCGCTGCATCCGTCAAGCTGACTGCATCCTCATCGTAGGGTTGGGCGACCAAGAGCCGGTGCTAGGAGAGGTGAGATGGGTGGTAGATGGTGGTGGGTCACCAC